AAAGGTCTTTCCTGTGCTTTTTCACTTTTCCTTTTGGATAAAAGAAAAGTCGGTGGCGACTCTTGCAACATTTGAGATCACACGTAAAACATCCAAGTCATTTCTCCCACCGTATCACAGTCATCCATGCCAAGTTTCATGCCTTGCTTAATAAGTTTGCTCAGTCAATTTCTCAAGTATTGGAAAATCAATTGTGCTAGGTCAAAAGTCAATTGTGGCCCATGTACAGTCAAACTTCAAGCTTTTTGGTCAACATCAACATTTTAAAGTGATATCCATCATTTGATCAAGGGTTGATCATGATTCCTCAAGAAATTCCCCTAACTCATCAAAAGTCAAAAATGGCAAATTAGGGTTTCTATAAGAAAAGTAAGCCAAACTTAGACCAAGCATAACTTTCTCATACTTTGTCAGAAGTTTTCCAACCAAATCTCATTTTGAAGAGAATCCAATTCCCTACAACTTATCTTCACCCCTCAAGTTCAATAAATGCACCATTTGAAAGATACAAGCTCATACATTACAAGTTATTTTCAAAAGGTCAACAAAAGACGCTTTTTGTCAAGATAATGTCTTCAAAAGAAAAAATGATAAACATAGAGATTGTATAGGACATCTTGGGCTTTCCAAAAAGTCCAAGATCATCTTAAAAAGATGAAAATTGAGCAAGTTATTGTTTGCACAAGTTGGGCAAATTTGTGAAAAATGCATGAAGTTAACTTTGAGCAAAATTGCATTTTTAGGTTAATGGACCTAACTTTTAGGGTTCAAACATGTTTATGACATACCCAAGGACCTCTAAACCTAACCATTAACTATTTTGATTTTTATTTCTATTTATTTGAATTTTTATTCATTTAAATATGAATTAAATCAAATAAATTAAATAAAAATACAAAGAATAATGGGTCATGACATTTTAGTCTGATTTGATCTATTAGAAGGCTCATATTTTTATGCAAGATACATCCAAAGGGGCCAGGTTCATGCAAGTGACCAAAGAGGCAAAGATATCACAAATATGGACATTTTTCAATGTGTTTTATCCTTGTCTCCAAGGCCATGAATGCATTGATTCTTTACCATGTCTGTTCACTCCTATCTTCCATCTATAAATACATAACATTACAAGCCAAAGGAAGCACGAAATTCCTCTTCCAAAAGCTCTCAAAAAATCTCTTCAAAAAGCTCTCCAAAAGCTCTTCAAAAAGCTCTCCAGAAATCAAAGAATTGGTGCAAGTCATATCTCGAGGTTCGGGTCTCTCTCGATTGACACCAAGCCTCAAACCATCCTCTTGAAGTCCTCACGAGTCTTACAAGGCCCAAGAGCAGTCCATCACATGCCTAGCACGCCCCCATTTAACAACACTGATTTGGTAAAATTTTAAACTTCAAATCTCTAATTTTAATCACATTTCATGACATGCTAACGTTTGTTTGAGTTTATATATAACAGTTATGGATGGTTGAATCAGAGGTTCCACGCAAGAATCTAAAAACACCATGGTTAGGGTATGAAGCTTTCAAAGATTCGGGCCTAGGGATTTATGATGATTGCACCCCCTATTTACTTTCCAATCAGGCCCATTTCATTTTTATTGCTTCATTTATTTTATTGTTTATTTTTTATTTATTTATTTCAAAAATCACTTTTGTTAATAACATAAAATAAAAAAAACCATAAAAATAATAGACTTAGGTTTTCTTAAATTATTTTTAATTTTGTAAAATTAATTTAATGTAGTTATTTGGACATTATTTTATTAATTTAAAATCAATTAGACTTAGATTTATTTCATTCAAATATTTTCTTAATAAAAACCCAAAAATAGTAGAATTAGTAGAATTAATTGACAATCTTTTTTTTCTCTTTTATTTAATTAATTGAGATCATATTTTTCTCACTTTAATTTTAAGTATTTTCTTAATAAATACAAAAACAACCAGAAAGATTTTATGTTTACTTAGTAATTTCTTAGGGTTTTAGACGTTCGTCTCTATTTCGTGCGCATTATTTTATTCTCGCATTTTTTATAATAATGTACCTGCTGACAATATGTAATAGATTAAATTAGGGCTTTTACTGTTTTTCTTTATTTTCTTTTTCCCATTTGGACATGTGAATACCCCCTTCCCAAAGCATTGTAATAGCGTATGATTTAAATTCCTACACTTTAAATTTCTGCTAAATATTAACTGTTAGTAACTAGGCTTGTATGAAAAGACTGAAATCAAACGCTGGCAAACTTAATAATAAAGATAATATAACTGGAAAAAACACACTTCTCACACTTGCATCTTTAGTGTATTCCTCACTCGGTTGCCTCGGAAATGGTCATGTCCCTCGAACGTAGGGATATCTTAGCAAATACCCTCGGTATAAAAGTCATCATAAAAGATCATGGTCCCTAAACGTCCCTCGAGTTGCCATTCGGTAAATGATCTTGTCCTTCGATGTTGCCTATATGATGACAGTCCCTTCAAATGCTAAGATATCCTTACCCGTTGTCTTCAATGACCATAACGTCCCTTTCGATAGTCCCTTAACATCCAACGACAGGGCTACCTACTCATTAATAGTAGGATAGTACTATCTAAAGGAAAGGAGGAAAAGAATGTCCTTTTTCGAGTAGGTAGATGACTCTTAAGTACTTGCTCAAACCTGAAATTTTCACACTTACACACTTTCAAAAAATCTTTTCAAAACACTTTATCACACTCTTGAGGACTGATACAAGAGTTACCATAAAGCAAACAAAAACTTTCAAAACACACAAACACAAACAATTTTCAAAAATGAGCAAATACCTAAGAGCCCGTGGAAAACCACAGATGGAAAGAGTGCTAACACCTTATCTTTTCATAATCTACCCCCCTTACTCAAAAAATCTTGAAAAAGGTATTTTTCTGTTCTTTTCACCCTTTCCTTTGTTGGATAAAAGAAAAGTCGGTGACAACTCTTGCTTACCGCGACATTTGCAAACAAAAAATGCAAACCAGTATTGAACAGTCGGTTCTGCCACCGTATCACACTAACCAAGTGTGTAAGCTTGTTAAATCTCTTTACGGACTTAAGCAAGCTAGTAGGAGATGATATGAAGGGCTCACATCTTTCATCATTGCACATCACTTTAAACTAGCTAACTTTCACCATTCTCTATTTGTGAAAACCAAAACATCATCCATTACAATTTTGTTAGTTTATATTGATGATGTCATTCTTGTAGGGAATGATTTGAATGGATTCAATTCGATCAAAGTGGCTTTGGATAATACATTCAAAATCAAGGATTTAGGCAAGCTGGAATATTTGCTAGGGATTAAAGTGGCACAATCTAAGGAAGGTATATTCTTAAATCAAAGAAAGTATTTCTTGATTTACTAGTTGATTCAGGATTCATTACTTCAAAACCAGTCACTACACCATGAAACCCTTCCATAAAGTTACATCAAGATTGAAACACTCCTTATCATGACATACCTTAATACAAAAGACTTATAGGTTGATTGTTGTATCTCAATGCAACAAGACCTGACATAAGTTTCTGCATACAATAGAAGAGTTATTTCTTGACATCTCCTACAACAAATCACTTCAATATTGCCTGTAAAGTTCTTAAATATCTTAAAACATGTCTAGCTCGAGGCATCCTTTTCCCCTGAAAACTCAACTCTACAATTTAGTGGGTTTTCAGATGACGATTGGGCAGGATACATAGATACCCGAAGAATAGTCTTAGACCAATGTTTCTTTCTTGGCATATCACTTATTTCATGGAGATCAAAGAAACAATTGACTCTATCGAGATGCTCACCAAAAGATGAATATAGAGCCCTTGCAGTGACCACTTGTGAGCTCCAACGACTTCTATATCTTATGAATGATTCGGACATCAAATGCACCGAAATTTCTGTCATATATTGCAATAATCAAAGTGCACTACATATTGCCTCCAATCATGTTTACCATGAAAAGACTAAACACTTGGAAATCGAATGTCACATTGTAAGAGAAAAACAGAGTAAATGAGTTATGAAACTACTTCTAGTCAAATCAAAAGATCAACTCGCTGACTTGTTCACCAAGACATTGCATCCTCAAATTTTCAATGATTTTTTATCCAAGTTGAAGATGACAAATATCTATCAACCTTCAACTTATGGGGGAATATTGAAACATGAGGATAAGAACAATGCAACACATGAGGATGAATGTTCACCACCAGTAACTAACTTGTATATCTGTTAAATAGTTAGTTAGAATGTAGTTAGAATTTGTTACTTGATACTAGGGTTGTTCAAAAAAACCATGAACTGAATTGAATCGCCAAACTGAACCGAACTGATGTTAAAACAACCAAACTGTTATGTTTGGTTAGTGAACCAAAACATATTACACAAATAGTTTTAGAACTGAACCGAAACTGAAATCGAACTGAACCGAATCAAAACTGAAAATGAAAAATACTAAAAATAAGTTTTAATTTAAAAAAGTTTAACGGTTCGGTTCTTTAATAAACGGTTTGGTTCGGAAAAATTGCCTTTTAATAGTTCAATATGCTTCAAAATTTTGAAACGGTATATCAAACCATTATATTTTGGTTCGGTTCGATTTTGAATAAATTGAAACAGCTCAGCTCAGTTCAGTTCGAAGTAATATGATCAAAGTAATAATTATGTGAGGGTGGTAGATTAAGGTGTAGGGTTGGCAGGTAAATTTTTGTGATTAGAGATACAATCATAATGGGCCAATCCATTTTGGGCCATAGTAACGAAAAGGTAAGGTCTGTTATAATATTTTAAAAGTAAAATAATTTAACGGCCACGATCAAACTATTTAAGTGAGTGCATAAAAACTTGACTGAAAGCAATCACGCTAGAAAGAAAAAAAAGAAAACGTAACAAGAAAGGGTCGATAGCAGTACTTGTACTTGTACACACACCTGTTATAAATTAATCGAAACTGAACCTCTTTGGCGCTGCAACAGAGTACTAGCATAATGGGAAATCAGAAGCAAAAGTGGACACCCGAAGAAGAAGAAGCTTTGCATCAAGGCGTTCAAAAACACGGTACCGGAAAGTGGAAGAACATTCTCAGAGACAAAGAGTTCGCTGAGAAACTCTGTAGCCGTTCCAACATTGATCTCAAGGTTTTTTATTCTCTAATTATTTGGGTTAGGGTTAGGGTTAGGGTTAGGGTTTTTCTTTCTTCTAATTTTTATATTGAATTCTTATGGTTGATTCGTTGTTCAGGATAAATGGCGGAATTTGAGTGTTTTTCCTGGTCAAAACTCTAAAGATAAGTCTAGGACTCCCAAGGCGAAATCGTTAGTTATTGCTTCTGTTCCTGCTACTCCGGCTCCTGCTCCGGTTAATGCTGCTCCGCCAAATGTTGCTCCTGCGCCTCTAATTCAGACTCCTACGCGCCACCCTTCTCAAATTGAAGATGCTCCTCCACAGTATGATCTTTTTTTACCTTCTTTATGCAGTTTTGTGGATTGAGTTTGTAATTTCTTTGATTTGGTAATGGATCGTATTGTAGTGGTAAAGTAGTTTTACATTGACATCCAATAAGAATTAGGGCCTGTTTGGATAAACAGCTTAATTGGAGCTTATAGCTTAAGTGTTTATCAAAATAAGCACTTATGAAAAAGTTTGCATAAGCTGTTTTTCTGACAAAAGATAAAATAAATTTAAATTATTTTTATGTGCTATAAATTGTTTTCGTAAGTTATCTTTGAAAACTTATAAAAATAAGCTCAAAAAAGTCCCTTTTGTAATTGTTGTATGTTAAAATCTGCCACAAGAAATTAGATATTCTTGATAAGAATTGGTGTCCAAATATAAGGTGATTTGTTCTTCAAGACGATCCCTTAATATCTTCACCTTATCCCTTGTCATAGGGCCTCCAACCCCTTTGATACCCACTTGTTGAAGATCCTTTGGCACTTATTAACATGCTACAATTTCTCTGCATGGATTTATTTATTTATTTTCATTCTCCATCTGTCCCTATTTTAAAGATCTTTTGGCACTTTTATGCATATTAAAGGAAGTGCGTAGTGTGATTAATGTGTGTAATTCGTGTATGACTATTACTAAATTACTGTGAATAGATGCATTCAATGCTAATTTTTCATATTAAAAAAAAATTGGTTGCATAAATAAAAATGGTTGTTACCAATACTTAGGCAACATACTGCATACTGTACCCGTATTGCGTACCAAAGAGAGTTGAGTGCTTGATAACTCAACAACAAATATTAATAGGATAAATTACCAATTACTACTGTTAAATTTGTGACCGAGTGTTCTGTTTTTAACACGATTTTGTGTTGCAGTAAAACATATTTAAGAACTATTCATTGCAAACATGTTTACATCACTTACTTCTAGCTGACCATCATAAAGTATTATATTTTGGAAGTTATATAGACTTTTAAACACAATATGTCTTATTTTTCATTATTTGTCCTATCAATTAAGACATATTATGATGACTTCTTTGTACTCGTTATTTTTATCAGGTACAATTCAATGATTTTTGAAGCTTTATCAACAATCAAAGATGCCAATGGGTCTGACTTAAGTGCTATTGTTAGCTTCGTTGAGGTGAGTCGATTTTCTTGGGGGTAATGCTTTTCTTATGATCACTATTTTTTGTGTATGGGCTGAATGGCTTGTTTTCTAGATCATGTAACACTGATTTTATGAATTGAATTGTGCTCAAAGATCTTTGGGATTGAATTGATGCGGTCTAATTGGGTTCTATGACTCCTAAATGCTTTACTTGCATAATACTATGAACTAGTTTATATATGAGGATATATAATCCATATAACTTAAGGCTTATTTGTGAATTTAAATATCCTTACGGCATCTATATCTTACATTCAAAACATCAAAGTATTTTCTTTCTGGTGGAAAGGTATTTTGAAATATTCGTCGACATTTGTGTAATATGTAATGTCAATCATTTGGGAATAGTATGCATTTGACTGTGGCACCAAACTCTTTCATTTCTTCTTATTAGGCAACATGCCTTATTTCTCACAACTATCTCTGTCCTCGACTCACTAATGTTAACTCCCTTGAGACCTCAACTCACTAACGTTAACTCCCTTGAGACCTCAACTAATAATGTATCAGAAGGACTAAAATAATTAATGGGTATTTTAGAGGGCTGAGAATGTTATTTAAACCTAGTTTTATTGGGTATAATTGTAGTAATGAGATTTGGGCCTATGATCTCATAGGAACTATCCAATTTCTTACCACCAGCTCAATATTAGTGGCTTTGCCATTTGTTTTTATACTGGAGAATTTAAAATCCGTTCATCAGCTAGAGGACCTTCTAGGATTTTTGCCTAGTGTAAATAGATTCACTCTAGTATGATCTTTCAAAGTAGCATGCTTATTTTCGTAATAGTTACAGTTTATTTCATTCCAGTTGCGAAAAGGAAAATATTTTTTGCCATATAGACAAACAATATTTGTCAGTTATGGTCGTTTTGACTTGCATAGTTTGTCTACTAAAATTGAGATTGTGTTGCAATTTCCTTGTTTCTGAGCTTAGGCAATGCCTTTTCTTATGGGGCTAGTTGGGGACTTGGCCCTTGGGGCGGAAATATAGTATACTTCGCAGCATCTATTGTGCATATTATCTTTTATGGGGTATTTCATTTATAGTATGTTTTTATTTTATACTTTCTAAGGAATAATGACTCATAATACTGCAGCAAAAGTACAACCTTCCTCAAAATCAAAATTTCAGAAGGACATTGGGTTCAAAGCTAAGAAGACTTGTTACTCAAGGGAGGCTTGAAAAGGTAAATTAGTCCTCTGTGATGCTTTAAAGAAATGTACGTGTTAAATTAGTTCTCTATATTTTGTTTTAAATTAGTCTTCTAGGATTTTTGTTTTAAATTAGTCCTCTAGGATTTTTGCTAGACACGCTTGTGTTGGAAAGCTATCTTGTATCAACAATAATACTTCGTTTTGTTTGGAGTAGATGTTTCTCCTCCTTTTCTTTTTATTTATATACTTCAAATGGTTTGGAAAAAAATTGTTCTAGGATTAGTTGTAACAGGATATATATAGGCCACCTTTTCCTGCACAGGCAAAATTTTGCAGGTTTAAGCTAAATGAACTTGAAGCTTGTTTTCTTGATTCTATGTTGTTTGAGGGAAGGAGAGGGTGATAGAGAAGGGTAAATTGTCTGCCAATACCATGCTAGAAAAATTGAACTAGTGAAAAATGAAACACAATTCTTAATGAATCAAATATTGTAATTGTATCCATTGTAACGGCTAGATAACAAAACAGAAGAACTAACTGTATAAACTGTTACTGCCACTCAACAGATTAAAACTAATCAGTCATGTTACACCCGCAGGTTCAAAATTGTTACAAGATTAAGGATACCCCAGTGGAGACAAAGCCGGATGTTGACTCAAAACCACCTGCACCAAAAGAAATGAATTCGCCAGCACCAGTGGCATCTAATACTTCGGCATTTGATAATGCAATGAGGGAAGCTTCCGAAATTGTAGCCTACAGAATTTCTGATGCAGAGAATAAGTCATTTTTGGCTGCTGAGGCAGTCAAGGAGACAGAAAGATATGCAAAGTTTGTCGAGGAGAATGATGCAATGTTAAAGTTTGCTGAAGAGCTTTTAGAAAAATGTACTGCAGATAAGCAACCCTATCTACTCATAAATAAATTTTCCAAACATCATAATTATACAAGTAAATATGACCATTGTTTTTTTGTTTTGATAATGACAGGTAAGCTTGGTGAAACTTTTCGCTTCACTTAAATTGGTAAATGCTAGGTTTATAGTGTTTTTGTTTTTACATGTAAATTCGTTCATCCATTGAAAAATGCTTTTATGACGCTCCCCCTCACCCCAATAGAAAATTTAAACCCCGTTAGTATAATTTTTTGTCAAGTTCCTTCTGAGACCAAAAAGTTTATGTGTTACTTTTTTTTTTTTTTGGGAATAAAATTGGTTTATTTAGTTTTATGAAAGTTCCTTTCAGACTAGTGTCATAACTAGACAAGACTTGTTAATAGTCGTGACATTGCAACATACAACTTTATACGGTAGATACATGGTAATGAAATATATGGCTCATCATGTTTCAGTGATTTTCTCTGATTCTTAATGTCATTGCAAGGAGAAACCAATGGAAAAAATTTGCCATAGAATTTTTGAAGTGTTTTACTAACTCAGTCGATATTGCTTCTTGAAGTGTGACATTTGCTTCTAAAATATAGTAGCTTTCCATTTGAGAGAAACGAATATAAGTACTGCTGTTCTATAACTCCAAAGTTTGATATACATAGACCAATTCCAAAATATCGAAGTAACATAAAAACACATGTTCATTTTCTCTCACTTAACGTATAATATTAATTAAATTTTGGGTTTTTGTTAAATTCTATAATGAGTTTTAGTTGGGTATCCGTGTACATTTAAGCACAATGCAAATTTTTTTTTTTAATTATAAAGTAAATTCATTAAAAAATGACATGACATTCTATAAATGATTTTTACATACAATTCCAAAGAGAATTTTTGAATGCACCCATTTTATAATAAAATCACTTCATTATAGAGATATCTTATTTATTTATTTTTTAAAAAAAGTTTGGATATCAATCTCTTAATCTTACGTGTGTTAGGCAAATCAAATTTTTGTTTCAACCAAAATTTTCTTTCACAATTAATTCCTTTCTCCCTATTTCTTATTTCGTCGGACTTTAAAGTTGTTGGTTACACAGCCGTTTGTTTCCACTTCTCCTTATTTCACTATCTCTCTATGACGGTTACATTTTTTATCAGTCATGGTATTGAGGGAGCATTTCAATGTTGTAAGAACTGTTTTTCTTTCAAACTTCTTCCTCTCCATCTTCCTTCTTCCTCTTCACGGCGATTGGCGGTTTGAAAGTGGTAGATTCTTTATCGAAGAAGAACATGAAATCAAAAAGGGGAATAAGGCTACAGTGGTTGTGGCCGCGGTTTGGATGTGATTGAAGCGATCCTCACGATTAGTTGCAGAAAGGGCGTGGTTCTGGGTAGTTGGTGGCAGAAGGGTAGTCCGCGGTGCAGGGTTTGTGTCTTTCACAGAGACATCAACATGCTTCCTAGTAAGTTGTTCTAACCATTGTTCTTTTCATGTGTTGTCTCTTTATTCTATAATATCATCATTGATTATCAATTGTGAACTCATATATCTCTAATTGAACTTGGGGGAAATGTTTTTATGGTTGAAGTTTTCATTGCTAGGTGTTTGCAGAAAGGCCATAGACAAATTGTGTTTGTAATGAAATTTGTGATTTTAGGCTTTCTGTAGTTAATATGTGTGCGAACACTTCGTGTCACTGCGATTTAATTCCTTTTCCTATTTTACTATACATTGTAGCATGGCAATGTAAAATGTATAAGTGTAGAGCCGTTATCATCGTTGGATGACTCTTTATCTGCAAGTGATGGATAAAAGGTGCGCGTCGGTTATCAGGTAATGTGTGTAAGTGTTTCTATGTGTTAACCATTTTCTCTTAGGATTGCCGAGTGTGACAAAGGTAGTTGTGGACTCTATTTCTTATCAGTAAGATGATGAGTTGAAGCAGATTTTTGTTAAGAGAGACTACAACTCACATGGCAAAATTCAACAATGTTTTTATTAAGAATCTATTGGAAACAACCACCGATGATGAGTTGAAGCAGATGTTTGGAGAATTTGGAACAATTACCAGTTCTGTAGTATGCAGGGATGCAGATGGAAAATCAAAGTGTTTTGGATTTGTAAACTTTGAGAGTACTGATGATGCTGCTAGGGCTGTTGAGGCTCTTAATGGAAATAAAATTGATGACAAGGAATGGTATGTTGGAAAAGCTCAAAAGAAATCTGAAAGGGAGCATGAACTGAAACAAAAAATTGAGCAGAGCATGAAGGAAGCCACTGATAAATATCAAGGGACAAACTTGTATGTAAAAAAATTTGGATGATAGCATTGTTGATGACAAACTTAAGGAGATGTTCTCCTCTTATGGTACAATTACCTCTTGCAAGGTATGTATAATTGCTATGATTGGTTTCTCACTAAATATCCACCTGCTACATAATCTACACTACTTTCATTTCACTTGAAAGTTAATGAGAGACCCCAATGGCATAAGTCGAGGATCTGGGTTTGTTTCATTCTCTACTCTTGAGGAGGCATCTAGAGCAGTAAGTCATATGGTATATTCATGGTTATTCTTTTGAAGTTAGTATATCGTTGAATTTTCTTGCTGCTATGATTGAATATGTAGATACAAAAGCGTCTTCCACTAATAATGTTCATTGATTTTGGCTTCGGGTAATAGAATAATGGTTTATGCACTGAGATATGGAATCTCGTCTTCATCAAGGTATTTTTGTTTTAATGTTATACAAAATGTGTTACTGCCTTTTCTCCCCCAACTGCCCCCACCCATAATAAAACTCTCGTGTACTTGATAAGTTTGTATTAGAATCCACGATTCTAGCATGCAGACCTTTTTTCTATACCAATGCAATCTGTATTTTATGTGTTTCTGTTAGTCTCATCTCCATGAAATTGTATCTGATATGATTATGTTTGTCTCATCACAGTTCAATAGGGAGGATGATGGCTCTCTTAAATCCCTACCTACAAAGCATGTTGACATTGGGGGATGAGTTTTGAACGATTGACCTCTATTCTACAGAATAAAATGAGAAATTATGACACTGATGTCTTCATGTTTATTTTCGACGCTAATCGGCTGGTATGGTTATTCAGGAATTAAAGCTTATCATATTTCTATATAAATAGGAATGATAAATAGCTCAAATTATGAATTCCTATATTGCAAGTTATTACCTTGCAGGCTAAAGCTGGTATTGCATGGGGAAAGCACACTAGGGTGATTTTGGATGTTGGCTGCGGGGTCGAAAGTTTTGGCGGTTACCTATTCGAAAGAGATGTTATTGCAATGTCTTTAGCACCGAAAGACGAACATGAAGCACAAGGTCAATTTGCACTTGAGAGAGGAATTCCTGCCATATCTGCTGTTATGGGTTCTCAAAGGCTGCCATTCCCTAACGGTGTTTTTGATCTCATTCATTATGCACGATGTCGAGTACCTTGGCATGTAGAAGGTTGGTTTCACTAATGCTTATCTTGAGCTTAGATTTTTCATTTGGCCGAGTAAGGTTGATGAGGAATATGAAACTTTGTTTTTAGGTGGCAAGTTGCTTTTGGAATTGAATCGAGTTTTGCGGCCAGATGGCTATTTTGCTTGGTCTGCTACTTCTGTATACCAAAAGTTTGAAGAAGATGTTGAGATGTGGAAGGGTAAGATTACATATTATATCATATCTCTATGTGTTATTCGGAAGATAATAACTAAGCAATTTTTATGTGTTTTCTTCCAGAAATGACTTCACTAACTAAGGCCATGTGTTGGGAGCTTGTAACTATCAACAAGGATATACTAAGCAAAGTTGGTGTTGCCATTGACCGACCTCCGTGTAGTCTGGCATGCCATAGAAATGACTCGCTTGGGATCAGTTTGAAAAATGATGGGGAACAGGTGCATTTTATGCAATTCCATCATTGAGACGCTTCATCATCCATTCTTGACACGTGTGATGACATAACCAACTAGGGTATGGTGCGGTTTATAGAGTGCTTGAGTGCACTTGAGTTTGGTAAGTTTCCACGTGTGAACTTCTAGCCGTTGATCTTGAAACACCTGTCTATAGTTGGTCTTGATCCTTCAGTTGTTATTACTTATTGTAGCGACTGGTTTTTTTATCAAGAGTCGACACTATTAGTTTTTATCCTAAGGAAGAGAATCTAACAGAAAACCCTAATTCGCAGACATAAATTCTAGGTTTCGGACTCAATTAGACGAAAGGAAGGTGTTAGGCACCTTTCATCTACCTTGTTCACAAGGATACTAGGCTCTAGGTTTAGGTTTGGGGTAAACTGGATTTTAAGTTTTAATTAGAAAGACTCGCCACGATTTTAGATCGTATTCCTACGTATCCTCTTATGAGGAATCAAAGTCCCAATTCGTAGTTCGTATTTGTTGGTGTTTTTTAGGGGTTTGCAAACATATTTTGAATTACTTCACACTCGGTCGGGGGTAGTGATTATGGAGATTTTGACTGAGTGCGTAATAAGTCAAAACTAGTTTGAAACCCATTTGCAAAAGACTGTTGATTAGCTTAGTTTATTGCGAAAATAGTTTGATGCTTGGTTTGTGTTTTTTAATCGTATTATTTGCAAAGAACTTGATTAATGCATGATTAGAAAAGATTTAATGCAAATAATATATAAAAATAATATATACAATTTTAATATAAAAATAAATTTATTTGAGAATATAATAGTATTTAGATAATAAAAGATAAAAATAAACATAATTATAAAAAGGAATTACAAAAAATGATAATTATAATAGTAGAAATTAAGTAATTATAGCACTATATAATAATAAAAATTAATATAAAAATTAATAATAATAATAATAATAATAATAATAATAATAATAATAAAAATCATTATTTGATAATAATAATTATTATAATTAAATATATATATATATATATATATATATATATATATATATATATATATATATATATATATATATATATATATATATATATATATATATATATATATATATATATATATATATATATATATATATATATATATATATATATATATATATATATATATATATATATATATATATATAAATAAAATAGAAATGATAATTAAATTATAAAAATA